GCCCCAAAACAGCTCAATGGCTGGGCTGGGCTGGCCTGTGAATTAGCCTAGTTATTCCAATAAGAAGCAGCAAAGTTTTGAGTGCAAATTAAAAATATAAAAAGCCACTAAATTGGAGCAGTGTCGTTCACACGCGCCGACAGTCGCAAGGCTGTCAAGTGAACTGTGGGCCAAGTCAAAACAAAGCCAAATTAGAAACATACAGAAAATGTATCTTAACATAATAAACACAAATGCATATATATCCGTATATTTTATATATATGTGATCTTGTGTGTAATAGCTAATCGTTTTAAGATGCTGCTTAACACATTCTACGCGTTTTTTGGCCAAATTTGTGCGACAAATAAAAATCAAAAATCGAAAATCCAATAACCAAAATTAATTTAAATTAAACGAAGCGCAGAACGGGTTAATCTTACCACGAACTGGTTCGCTACATATCTCTGTATATAGGCACATATACAATATGTATATAAAGCTGAATATATGCATATATCTACATATGTGTAGCCCTAGATATATACACATGTGGCCGTAGTATTTGTTGTAGAGTGACTGAAATTCTACGCCCAAAATCTTACAAGTTTCACATGCAAATTTTCAAGTTCAGTGCTTACATATTAAACACGAATTTATTGCCGTCTGCGGTTGGAATTGAATAAATGCTGGATTTTTTTGGGTTCACACTCGACGTCATTGGCAACAAACATTGTCAGCTGAAAAATTTTTTGCTGGCAATCTTTCGGCTAATTAGATGCGTTGAAGCGCCATTTGTGTGGTCCACGACTTACTACTTGGTTCCAGTTCAAAGACTGCAAAAAGTATGCTATAATAAATTTCACGGCGAATCCTTTAGCGTTTGTCACACACCAATTCGCCGCATAGTGTTGCCACCCTACATCAATTGCCTATAACACATCAAATGCCTGCCCCTCCCAGTCTCCGATATGTCTGTCTGTCTATCATTTGCCCGAAGGTTAGTTGGACAAGATTTCAGTTTTTTTTTTTTTGTTCAGCGCATTAAAATGAATTCGATATATATAAAATAAGTATATAAAATATAATTTGATTTTAGGCAAAGACTGAGACCAGAGCGCGCATAGTTTGTAGCCAAAAGCGCCAAACTATTTATTAGCTTTAATTTGAATTTCGTATAATGCCGCGAACAAAACTTGTTGAGCCGCTTCTGCAAAGATGCTTCTACATATTTCACAAATATAAAAAAAAAAAAACAGAAATACAAACTAAAAAGATAACAACAACAAAAATCAAGTTCACCTCGAGTGTATCAAATTTGTATAAAATTCATCAGTCAACAAATACGTCAGCTTGAAATTTGTGTATATATATATATACATATGCTCGAAGCCACAAATCTTGTGTTATGCAAAACAGAGGAAGCACTGCGGTCTCTGAAAACCAAACTTCAGAGATACAAAGATACATAACCGTGCTCATATGCGGCCCAGCACGTATGTATCTCTCCATCTAAGTGTACCTGTTGAGCATCGTTTAGCGTGTTTTAGTATAAGCATTAATGATTTTCACTAATATTTCAGACATAAATCAGTCACTTGTTTAGCCATTCGATATGGCTGTGAACCCCCCCTCGGCGGCATCTGAATGTGGTATCATGCACACATTTATTATTATAATTATATCTTTTATACGCTTGTAGACATTATGTTTAATGATTCTTTTTGATTATGGGTGTAATGTGTACATACGGTTATTGGTTGACTCTTTGTATGTTTATTATTACAGACTGCAACCGCAAACACGGTTTCAGTACCCAAATTGACGAGATTTGCAGTTATCACGACTTCTCCTGAAGCTACTTTAGGTTTACCAAAATTGTGGGCGTAATTGTGTTCTATTGACTTACAGTTCTGTCGTGGGCATCCATCGTTTTTTTTTTTATAAAAAAACCTGAATTCTTTCAATACCAAGAGTTTGAAGCATAAGTAAAATAATCTTACAAATCGGTTTTTATAATTTTAAAGAAATATGGAATATGGCATATTCGAAGCCCTAATATTACCCTTTTATTACCTAATATCCCTCATTAAAGGTAGATGATACTCCCCAAAACTGTATAAAAGCTTATTCAGAAACCTAAGTAATCTTTAGACTACAGTATAAATCATTTGCTTTTCAATCTGGCCGGGTAGATTGCCGTTTTATACAGGCCACTTTTTAATCGATAAGCCCCAAAAGTATGCAGTAAAGTTTCTATATTCTTTTCGCACTGATTATAAAAGCATGCTTGGGCGTCAGTAAGACCATCCGCATTAAAAATCCTCATACGGCGTTATGGGATTAGGCTCTAAATAACCTTTCCATCCATGTGTTATTAAGGTACTAAATTATAAATATAAGGTACTGTATTATAAATAAAAATAAAAGTATGCATGCAGAATTAAATATTATTACTATAACAAGAATGAAATTTTCTAACCTGTCACCTTCGGAAGGCACACAGTCGGCTTAATAGCACAAGAGCTTTAGCAGCAGCAGCAGAACCGTCTACCAAAGGAAACAAGGCTCAGTTGAAGCCCAAAGAAGCTGTGATTAAAACAGCAGCCATACCAGATACCGGGCAAATAAAATACCTCCATCGGTCGGTGATGCTATTAGAAAATTTTGTATTCTAATTAGGCTTTTAGCATTTAATTTTCATAATTTGATGTATTGATAAATTAGGACACTCGTTTTTATCGACCATAAATAAATTTAATAATTAAATAAAATAGATAAATAAAATAGATAAATAATTAAATCAATGGCATATACAAAGAAATACCCATAAACTCGTCATACTTTGGATACATTTAACAAAATACAGAGTGATTTTTAGAAACCATCGAAACTGAAGACTGATGTATTGATAAATTAGGAAGACATTCGTATTTATCGGCCATAAATAAATAAAATAATTAAAAAAAATAAATAATTACATAAATGGCATATACAAAGAAATACCCATAAACTCTTCTTACTTTGGATACATTTAACAAAATAGTGATTTTTAGAAACCATCGAAACTGAAGACTGATGTATAGATAAATTAGGAAAACATTCGTATTTATCGACCATAAATAAAATAATTAAATAAAATAAATAATTAAATGGCATATACAAAGAAATACCCGTAAACTCGTCTTACTTTGGATACATTTAACAAAATACAGTGATTTTTAGAAACCATCGAAACTGAAGACTGATGTATTGATAAATTAGGAAGACATTCGTATTTATCGACCATAAATAAAATAATTAAATAAAATAAATAATTAAATGGCATATACAAAGAAATACCCGTAAACTCGTCTTACTTTGGATACATTTAACAAAATACAGTGATTTTTAGAAACCATCGAAACTGAAGACTGATGTATTGATAAATTAGGAAGACATTCGTGTTTATCGACCATAAATAAAATAATTAAATAAAATAAATAATTAAATGGCATATACAAAGAAATACCCGTAAACTCGTCTTACTTTGGATACATTTAACAAAATACAGTGATTTTTAGAAACCATCGAAACTGAAGACTGATGTATTGATAAATTAGGAAGACATTCGTATTTATCGACCATAAATAAAATAATTAAATAAAATAAATAATTAAATGGCATATACAAAGAAATACCCGTAAACTCGTCTTACTTTGGATACATTTAACAAAATACAGAGCGATTTTTAGAAACCATCGAAACTGAAGACTGATGTATTGATGTATAGATAAATTAGGAAAACATTCGTATTTATCGGCCATAAATAAATAAAATAATTAAATAAAATAAATAATTAAATAACTGGCATATACAAAGAAATACCCATAAACTCCAACTTTAGATAAATTTAACAAAATACAGAGTGATTTTTAGAAACCACTGAAACTGAAGACTGATGTATTGATAAATTAGGAAGATTCGTATTTATCGGCCATAAATAAATAAAATAATTAAAATAAATAATTACATAAATGGCATATACAAAGAAATACTAATAAACTCGTCCTACTTTGGATACATTTAACAAAATAGTGATTTTTAGAAACCATCGAAACTGAAGACTGATGTATAGATAAATTAGGAAAACATTCGTATTTATCGACCATAAATAAAATAATTAAATAAAATAAATAATTAAATGGCATATACAAAGAAATACCCGTAAACTCGTCTTACTTTGGATACATTTAACAAAATACAGAGCGATTTTTAGAAACCATCGAAACTGAAGACTGATGTATTGATAAATTAGGAAGACATTTCGTATTTATCGACCATAAATAAAATAATTAAATAAAATAAATATATTTATTTGGCATATACAAAGAAATACCCGTAAAACGTTTCTTACTTTGGATATAATATAAACTAAAAAACCAAAACTAAAACCGGACTATATTGTGTATTTTGGTTCACATATTACGGATTTAAAAAAAAAAATAGTTGACCACTCAAAGTTCTTCCACGAAAACAGAAAAAGAATCAAATAGGTTGGAAAAATTGTTTGCACAAGCTTTTTCCGCAAAAAAAAAAAGAAACAGAAAATAAATAAAATAAAAAGAAGTAAATAAAAATAGTTACAAAAACAATATTTTTTCACAAAAACAAAAAAGGAGTTTAGCTCTAGACTCGACTAGAGTTCAGAGCAAACTGATTTCCCGATTGACTTTAGGCAGTGGCTTTTATACAAAATTCCGAATGTTCATTGACAGCAAATCCAAAGCCTACTCCGATGGAAAATCTCTATATATAAAACTGTTCTGCCTGATTCTAAAAGGGCTTTGTTCAAATTGAGGCTTGTTTTACACTTTTAAATGGTGGAAATGGCAGTCATAGATTTGGTGGGTGACTTTTCGTGTTCGAAATTTATTGCCAAGGAACTATACAAAAATTCATTTGAGATGAGTTTCACATTTTTCGCAAAAACCAAAAATAAAATAAAATAAAACACGCTCTTTTATAATTTACTAATTATATTTTTTATTACATTAAATCGTTTTTGTAATCGTTGTGCAGTTCACTTGACAAATTAACGCAGATGCGTACACTATACTATACTACACTACACGGTATATATTAGGACAGACTAAAATATAGTACATATAATCAAATGTTGAACAGACACGCACAAATACATAAATCACACATACACATGCACAAGCACATACATACAATATACTCACATGCATTCAGAAATTGATTGTGTCTCTATACTATATTCCTAAGATAAGGCTTAACTACACGTAATCCTCGGGATATGACATTCTTTAGTTGTGGCGGCTGAATGACAACAGAATTGTGTTTATCAAAATTTTCTTATGTGGACATAAACTAAACACTAGGTACAATGCTCTATATGTACAGTTCATAACTAGAAGATACACTTTGCATATGGGCATAGTTCGTAGTTCGTAGCTTAAAGATAGATCTGCTTGCAATTCTATACAGATTCAGATACATTTATTTTGGATGCAACAAGTCTTTTTGAATGTGAATGCTTCGTTTCCGTCTGGGGCCTGGCCAACGTGGTTCACAGCTCCGTCGAGTACTCCTCGGGATTAATATTGAACTTGCGCCAACAAATGTGATCGCCAGCCGCCGCGGACGTGGGCGGAGGTAGCTTGTGCGTATTAACATTCACCACGGAACTGGCAGAGCGCTTAATGTGGTGGCTATTGGACGCCGGCGCCGGCGCCAGGCAACCAGTTGAGCGGCCCAACGGATTCCGGGACATGGCAGCCGCATTGGCATGCCCATGCCCATGCCCATGTCCGTTCCCATTGGCCTTGCCGTTGCCATAGGTAATGGACTCGTTGGAGGGCGAAATCTCAATGCGCGTCGAGTGGCTGCCGCTGCCGCCGTCCGAGAGCCGCCTGATGTACACCACCTCACGATGCTTCTCAACCGTCGTCGGCCCTGGCGGCGCGCGGGTCAAGGTCTGCGGCTGGGCCGTTTGGCGTACGCGCTGCGAATATCTCAGCGGCTTGCCATCGCTGGCCTGGAATGGCACATATTGTTGGGTGATGCCCGGAAACTTGTCCACGCTGATGTCCTCCTCGATGGCCGAATCGCCAAACATGGAGCCACTGTAGTTGGGCGAGCTATTGCCCGGCGTCGACGACTTCCAGTGCGTCTGCGGCGCGTGTGTTGTCTGGCCATTGGGTCCAAGCTTTTGCGCACTTGAATACTGGCCCTTTTTGATGGAGTGCGTGTAGTCGCGTGTGCCGCGGCGCCGCAACGTAAAATCACGACGTCCAGTATCCTGGCAGACGGAACGCCATTGCTTCCAGGAGTGACGCGCCAGCGGATCGGCTGGACCCCATTCCTTGGCTGGTTTCGACGCCTCGCAAATCATGCCAAAGAAATTGTACTCCACCTGGCGGAAGATCTGTATGCAGGCAATGATCATTATCACCGCCAGTGCGAATAGAATTGGAGCCCAGCGTGGCAAGTAGCCCGCCAGCAGATCAAACTGATCGTCGTCGGCGCACCACCAGACCAAAATGCCCGTTAGTATGGCCGGACAGCTGCACCACAGCCACATCCAGCCGCGGAAAATGGGGCGTCCAATTGAGAACTCCAAATCTGTGTAGATATTCTTGGCGCCATAGATCCACGTAATGGCAATGAGCTCGAAGACCAGCGCCGTAATGACCAGAGTGCCCACAATGCGCGAGTCCAGGACACGGGCTATCAGGAACTTGGGCGCTGCAAAAGACATGACGGCAACCACCAAAGCAATCAGGCAAATGACATAGTTGGGACGGCGGGGCACCAGCCGAGTGGATGTATAAACGGCAACGGTTATGGACACAAGTGCCGACAGTATGACCAGAGCATAGATGAGTGAGGGTATCAGATGACGCACCAGCTCACTTTCCGACTGGGCGCCGTACAGGACGCGGTCATAGATGGCGGTCAACGGCTTCAGCTCATCCATAAGCGGAAAGCCATTGGACGAGAAATCGAACTGCACCATGAACAGCGTCACGGCGATGGCATTGATCAGCAGATTGAAGCACAGATAGACGACCGAGGTGCGCACTGCATCGCCCTTGTAGAGGAACTTGCCCGTCAGCATTGGCATCGCGCCGAAGCCACAATTCACAGAGAACAACACCTGCATGAGGGCATTGAACCAGATGTTGCTCTCGGCCAGCTGGGCGCTGTCAAAGGACCACAGCTCTGGAAAGTAGTGCCTGGAGAAGGAGTTGCGCACCTCCCAGCCAGTCAAGGCACAGAGCAGACATAAGCCCGCCAGGCCATAGACGAATAGACTGCGGCGCAAGATTTTGGCATTGTGCGTACTGCAAACGAGAATAAGTATTAGAATTTATGCAACAGGTAAGCCAAAGGCCCATACATACCACAACATGACAACTATCCAGAGACCGATCAGACCCGCTGCCAGCAGCCCGAAATAGAGCGGATTGCGCCAGAAGGGCGTCAAAAAGGTCTGCTGCAGGCACTCCTGTCCACTGTTGGGCGTCACCGTATAACCATGCTGTAAATTGAAAGGCAAATTAAGTCATCTGCTTAAGATCCTATATGGGTAAGCGGTAACCTACCATGCTCAGCTTCAGGTTGCCCACGCACTCGCGAAAGGGTATGCCATTGGAGGCGAACATTCCTATATAGGCCAGCGCAAGTACAGCCTGCAATGATATCCAGATGGCCGACACCCACGATGCAAAGCGGCTGATGATGCAGGCCCCTGTGCGAAATATAAATTAAATTAAATAAGTAAATCTGGTTTTCGATACAAGAAAAAACATCTATCATATCAACGGATGTCATCAAATTTTCAAAATAACAGCCAACATCTGGCTCCTCTTCTATGTCTTATGTTAGCGTTGCCATCTAGTCAAAATATTTGCGTACCCAAAACATAGGTTGCAAAATAATTGTCGGTATTTCGGTTCACGGCTCGAACTAATTCCTTTCTTTAAAGTTCGGTTTGTAAAGCTAGCTTTCCATATTTAATAATAATACCAAAATAATAATAATGGTGTTGGCATGAGTATCAGTCTTCGTTAAAATTCTAAATTATTGAAAATTTCAATCAGCATTTTAATTTACAAGCCGTCAAGCATTAAATATTTTTATATAGATTGGTTCTGGTTCCGACTCGGTCAGTGTAGACAAGATTCGTTTAATGTTCAGTTCATATTAAAAAGTAAGTTTGAACCAGCTTTAAAGTTCAAACCGTTTTGTTCGTAACTCTGTCTCGTAACTTTCAACAGCTACAACACTTATTTGGTTGACCAAATTTCAAATCCATACATGAAAAAATCGATTGCTTGGCATTTGTTTATGGCAATCAGAAATATTTCCCAACCAAAAGTTGATCGCACAATAATTCATTTGCAAAAGTGAAATAAAAAAAGGGGCGATACAGCTAAGGCATTCCTTTGCAGCACCCAGCATTATGTGTATTATACTGAGGTCTTTTTCGAAGGTGTTGTGTCGTAATTTGCAGTTTTTCATTTTTGCTTTTTGCCATTATTAGTATGTTGCTCATATATTGCTCATATTTTTGAATATCGTTTGTTTCACATTACAATTGATTTCGTTTTTCATGGTATTTTTTTTTTGTTTCATTTTGGTTTATACTTTTTGTTCATTTAGAATTTGCCTTAAACGTCTCTATGGTTATTTTTTGTGGACGCGCCAGTCGTCAGTCGTATTCCACAGGCATTCTCCGGGCTGATTGGGAATCATAGCAACTGCTGCTTGCCTGCTGGTTTTTTTTTTTCTTGGTTGTTGGGACTTTCTGGGTGTAGCTCTCACCCACCGGTCTCTATCAGATGTGCGTATTTTTGTTGTTTTTGTTTGTTTGTTTGTTTTTTTTTTTCGATAAGCAGCAATTGCTTTGGGCCAACAGAGCCAAGAGCTGCGCCAGATTCCGGATTTTGACTGGCTTTCGGCACGTCAGCGATTACACGAACGGGACACACACACCAATGCATTTTGCAGTTTTTAATATTTTTTTTTTAGATTTTTTTCAGAGTTTTCATTTTGTCCTGATAACACGATGATGATATCTTTAAACTACTAGGTCACATTTAAGTTAGTTTGCTTTCATTTTTTTTTAGTGTATTTTTTTATGTGTTTTATAAGTTTTTTTTGTTTGCATTGATATACTTTTGGTCTGATAGTATTTTTTGTCTTGATTTATCATTGCGATTCGTGATTTCTTGTTTAGACTTTTGTTGCATTTATATATTTTTTTATCCATATATATAAGTATATAGTTGTTTTGCTCTTTTGCATCATTTTTGCATTTTTTGCATATATTTGCAGCATATATTTTGCGTATTTGCGTATTTGCTTTTGCTTCAGAGAATATGACGAAAGTTTGCGCAGCGTACTCCTCTCTCCTTCTCAATCGTAACACTTCTGCTCTCGAACCCAACGGGACACAATTTCAGCGTGTGGGGTTTAAACGGGCTGTGTCCAACCGTCGTTAGCTGCGGAATGCACGACCGCCCCAACAGGATGTGTCTGGCATTCGCTATTTAAGCAACAACCGAGCGAATTCCAACTTGAGAATTATAAACGACTGCCAAAAGTGCAGTCGGTGCAAGCTTTCGTGCCGAGCTTTGTCCTGGCCAAAGACTGCACAGCTTTTCCGCCCGTCCGCCCAAAGAGGGTTGTTTGCTGTGCAGCCAACTGTTGCACACCTGTTGCTTACCTTTGAATATGGGCGAGGCGCGCCAGGTGTGCGCCGCTCCCTGTCCCAGAAATTGACCCACCGATATCTCGAGCAGTATCATGGGCAAACCGACTAGAAACAGCAGCACCACATACGGCACCAGATAGGCAGAGCCATAGTGGTCCAGTTCGCGTGGGAAGCGCACCACATTCGCGTAGCTGACGTTGAGGCAAATGCACAGCACAAGGCCGCGAAACACCGAGCATTTCGTCTGCAAAGACAGAGAGATGATGGGAGAAAAAAAGAGAGTGCATTAGTTAAGTGTCAAAAATATGGGAAACAAAATCGTGTGTTGTCACAAGCATCCGCCGGCTATGCTCAAAACTGAAACAGCAACACCCACAATACAAAACTCATTTCCGGCACTTCCGCTTTCGAGTTGTGTAATTTTTCATCAGTTTTTCTGGTTTATTTATAAACACTCTCAGTTAACAAAGTTAACAATTTATTTGATGCTTATTTATTTTGCACGCACCCTTTGGGTTCTTATATTTATCTAGCGCGTAATGAGCGGCAAAAGAAAGTGTGGCCCATTACGAGGGTCTGTGGAAGAGGCCAAAATGCCGCTGCCTGCGAAATGTGCCGCATAAGCCCATTAGATGCGTAGCAAAAACCGACAACAGCTACAGCAACAACAATACTTTCAAAACCAAAAAAGGCAAAAAATAATCAAGTACATTGCAGTCGGGTGTTAACGACTGCGAAATACTCCTTCACAATCCAATAACAGCTTGAAGCCCGTCAAACTGATTGAAAACCCGATTCCTATTTGACACGGCACAAGTAAGGGCAATCTTTTTTGATCAGTTTATTAATCAGTAGTCTTTATTCCACATTGGATTAGTCTAGCTCTAAATCAGTGGAAGATATAGATGTTTACGATATCCCACCTTCCTAGCTAAATTTTTCATCAAATTTAAGTTTTGTTTGATCCGAAAATATATTTCATATTTAAAGTCTCAACTCGTGAACATTACACAAAACGAATATACCCCTGTCGCTTTATAAACGAGTATAAAAAGTTAACAGCTTTAAGCGAAAAAAAAATTACAGCAACAATAAAATTATATATAAAATAAAATCGCTTTGCCGCTGGAACGCTTTTAAGTGAAATTCATTCAAGAGAGCGACGCTCAGTTATCCGGACGAGCGGATTGGCGGACAGACAGACGGACAGACGGACGGACGGACGCCCAAGTAAACGCAGTTAATAAAGCGAAAACCGCACAGTGAAAATGTAAACATAAGCCAAACACCAAAACGCGGCAACCTCAGCTGGGTGCGATGATCAAACTGAGCTATTAAAAAATATCTACAAGCGATGAGTATCATGTGCCATATTGATTCAGACTCGTATACTAACTAAAACACAGGCAAACGGTTAACTTGTAATGATTAAATACGCTTTTAGTTAAAAGGCTTTAAAATAACACAGCTTTGTTTCAGACAGAGTTGTTCTAAGGGACTTGTCTAATGTAGTAGACTGGTTTGATAGGGTTTCACAGTTTTTTTTTTTTTTTTTGGAAGAATAGAGAAGCTGGTTTGATCAATAATTTATGATATATATGTATGATATGATATATTATATAATAAAATATTGCGAAGTTGTTAAGAATTAGCCCATATATCAAGAGCATAGTAAAAGTGCCAAGTTTGATCAAGTGAAATGAATAAGAAACAAGATGAATTACATACAATTGGTCCAATTTTTGCTATGACAATGATATAGTAGTTAAAAAGAGACGAACCTATTAAAACAAAGAGATGAGTTCACATGGAATAGACGGACGAACGGACGGACATGGCTAAATCAACACGATTTTGTATACTGATCAGAATTATATGTAGGCTACTAGAAGAGGTCTCTTTTTAAGCGTTGCAAATTGCGTAACAAAACTATAATACCCTCGACAAGACAGACAAGGTACAGAACATCACGTGTCATATCATGCATGCATCCAGATGCAAAAAGCAACTGAAGCTTAAAATTGCACAATTAACAGATACAATTTTGTATCTTTTGTATTTAGTTGTTTTCTCTCACACTTACTTTGCGATAATATCTGAAGGGCACATCCTCATGGACAACATATAGATAATCGGCTAGATATTTAGTTGTTGGTATTTCCATCTTTGGACAGATTTGATATTGTTTATAGGTGCAAAAGAACTTGTCATTTTCTTGCATTTGATATATTTAGCATATAATTTACTTCGATTTGCCTTGATTGCAATTTCACAAAATTTATGAACTATAAAAATCAGACATTAAATTAATAAGCTGCAAAGATTTAGATTCAGAACAGACGTTGATTTATAATGCACACACAAACTCAATTAAATGCAATTAGTACTTTTATTTATTTCGTTTAAAACATTTTCAATGTGCATTATTTACGTGTATTTCTGATTTTTGTAAATTTTCAAGTTTATAATTCGATGTTTCTTTCATTTTTTTTTTTTTTTTTGTTTGTCCATGCGCCGACATTTAACATTTCAATTTTAACGTATAAAAATAAAATAAAACAAAAAAAAAATCACTACGAAAACAAATAAGGTGATGGCTTTAAGAAACACAGTGAAACGCATATGTATACGTATGTGGAACAAGTTATCACGTTGCGAGGCAGCCGCTTTAAATATTAATTGGCAACACCTTCATTGCTTAGTCCTGAACCGCTTATTGAATGTCTTGTGTTTGGTGTCTTTTGCGAATTGGCCGCGTCATCGCATCGCATCGCATATCCAACGACAGCCCCCCGCCAAAAAGAAAAAAAAAACTAAAACTGATGCCAACGCGTGCTGGTTCCGTAAACGAAGACAATTGGCAGCGAGTGTCATTAGATATGGATTGCAGGCTTGATGAGCATTGCAGACAAGCGCGACACGCGGCGTATGCGTAATTCAGCGAAATGCAATCGATCGGCAAATTTGTCTCGCATGCGCACACACACTTGCACTCGCACACACTCGATGTTGAAAGCGTATTCACTCGGCTATTGCATTGGGTACGCGCTGCGAGCAACCATCATGATCGGAGCAGCGTCGACTTGCGACTGCGCCAACGTGCGATTCCCGAAACACTAAAAATCGCGGGCGCGCGCATACGAATTTTGATTGGGAAAAATCGAATGAGAAAACGAGAAACGAGTTTTTCCATTGTCGACGATTTATGTGATTTTTCCAGCTCAAATCAAAACCAACACTCACTGCAGCTGAAGCTGTGCGCTGCCTTTTGGAAGGGGGTGGCCTGAGGGAACTTGACGACTGACACTGGGAGGGGGCGAGCACAGGTAACGTGCGAGCGAGCATGAACCGAACTGCTCTCTCATTAATGCAGAACTGACGCTGGCCGAGCCGGCCGACAGACTCTAAAGCGTGGCTTTCTACAAGCCACAGTCGCTGCGCAAAGTTAGCGTACCGGAGCCGAGTCAAACCGAGCGCACTTCGTTTGGGCATACAGCACGCCTCAACAATTCTGTGAGTGGTTGTGTGTGTGTGTGTCGACAGAGTTTGAGATACACTTTTTACCGCATCTTGTTAAACACATTTTATGTATATTTAAAAACTTCAGCTATCTGATTTACTGTGTGTATTTTTCGCCCACGAGCTGCGCGACTGAACACTAATTGAAAGTTCTGAAAAGACGCTTAGAAATCTAGACGTTGGGCCGGGAACAATGCGATGTTCCCATGTCGTGAGCATAATTAACTTGTGTGGCCTGGTGGCGGGGCAGAGCGGCAGCGGGGGGAAGTGGGCTAAAGCATAGAGAAAACCCGTCCATTAGACTTGGTCTCGATCTACGCCTGCCTGGTTTTGGGCACTGCCTTTGCGCTTCTCACAGTCAAATTAAATTTCATTTTAACACGTTCTGAGCAGCAGCAGCACCAGCACAGCATAATTTCATAATTCTTTTATAATTATTATGTAAGCATGCGAGCGAAACTGGCGCAGCGGCGCGAACCCCGACGCTGAACCCAAAACTTGCTGTCCGGGTACGCGTTTATTAACAGCGCTCACTGTGCGCCACAATAAACAGAAAACGATTTCAGGCTAAGGCTCTGATCTGTGCGCGTTAATTGAAAATAAAAATATTATTTCTGACGCACACACGTTCTCAACTCGAGCAGCAGCAATCATAAGCCATAATGTGCTGGACATTTGGCATTAGTCAGCCACAAGCTGAGCACGGAAATTCAAATACAAATCGTACATTTATTGGCCATCCATTGGCCGATCGAGGTGCCGGGCCATAAATGTGGCTGTGCAACGGATATGTCGGCTCTTGATGGATTGGCTGAAAACAACTCTGAGAGCGTGACTTTCCCGAATTTTTTATAAGTGTATTTGATAAGCATTAATGGAGCGTCACTTGACGTGCTGTATACCCTATTCAAAATACATCAAGGGTATACACCATTTGAGTTTATTTATTATTATTCAGAAGCTTTGCGAGCTTGATCAAAACTCATATATTTATCGTATTTTTCTATATTTATTTTCAAGAACCAATATCTGGGTAATATTATATTTTTATATCTAAATTCTGGGGCAATATTAAGTACTAATTAATTTTTTTAATTTATCTGCCAAAAGTTAGAGTAAGAGTTCGTCGCATACCCTTGATATTTTTTGATTTTTCATAAAATTTATAAAAGTAAGCTCTTGCTTTACAGGGTATTTTGTCGTCATATACAATTTGCAGCAATAACTCACGTTGTCAGGTTGTGTGTGCGCATATTTTGTTATTTAGAATTTTTACTCTTCGCCTTACGTTTAGCATTCATAATTGCTTTATTTTCATAAGCTTTTGGTGGCTTTTGCCGGGTCGAGTTTGTGTGCCTCGCATTTCGAATGGCCAAAGTGGCCGTTAAAATGTTGCTTTATTTGAAAAAATAATAATAATATATATGAGGCCAAACGAGCGCGCCAAAGGCAGGCAGAGTGGAAATTAGTGGCCGAAAGTGGCCTAACTATAAATAAAACCTTTCTTTAATGTCTTGTGCTTTTCTACATAGAATGCGAATTGATTTCGAATGGCATTTCATATAGAATTCCACATTCATTAAGGTTATAGTTGGACATCAGTTGTGTAGCCAGATCTCTCGTTAAAGACGGCAGCTGCACAACAATTACAATTATATATATATATATATTTTGTATGCGTCTGTCAATTGTTGAAGCTTGGACACGAAATTGGAGTGTGAAAATGCGTTCACAATGAGCCTGAGGCTGAGCTGAGGCTGGCCGGCCACACACAAAAGCTGCCTGAAAATCTTTTGTCAACAGATTGAATAAGAGACGTACGAACATTGTACACTCGGACAATCCCTTTTGTGTCGCATACACTCTTGGTAATGTAGTAAAGTGTGTAAGAGTGTACAGTGTATGGGGATGCATCTGTTGGGCACTGGAGCATTGCGGTCTGTCTTTCGCTCTGTCTGACAGTCTGCCCGCCTTCTGTATGACATGGGCTATTGTTTTACGATTTTTGGTTGCGTCTCGTCTAATCAAAGTGGCAAGTGAAAGGAACCGGAGTCATGAAGCCATATAGCTGCCATATCGCTAACTAGCCAAGTGCTCCGTTACACCCAACCCGGTAGCGCAGTGTTGCGTTGCGCCTTCCAATTGCCCAATTGTCGTCGGTTGGACGTTGCTTGGATTCTTTGAAGCGCGTGCACACAACATATCAAAATTCTACTGGCCACACACACACGCACACATCTTGGCCACTTTCACTGCGCCGACTGCTTTCAAAAGTCTTGTTCGTCCATGCAATTCTAATAACCGCCAATTATCATAATGCTTCCCACAACAAGACGCGAGTGGAGCCGGTTTGATTATTTGTATCATTGCTTGAATGCAATCAAACCAATGACGTCATCATTCAGCCAACGCACCGAATCATTCAGTCAGTCAGTCAGTCAGCCAGTCAGTCGGTCTGTCAGCTCGTCCGTCATCAAGTCGCCCAATATATCCAATTTGGGGCTGTGCCTCTTAACGCACAAAACGTGCAATGGACGTCGCCGAATTTGCACTAAAAATACAATTTTGCGCTGCACATTTTTCGTTTTGTTGAACTTGTTAATCAGCGAATTGGAAACGAAAAGGCATAACAGATGAAGTAACTGACACAAGTGTATGTGCAAAATATATCTGTATGTAGGTGTGTGTGTGCGCACACCCGCCGCTGCACACACAGAACTGGCCTAGCTCCACGGGGCGGCTGCCTGCTGTGGCAAGCAATTGCAAATGAGTCTCGAGTCGAAAAACATTCATATGTGCGCATGTAAATATTTATAATGATGATTGCGAGGGCTTTGCAAGTCAATAAAAATATTCAGTTCAGAGTGCAAATATATCTAATATTCCGTATATCATAATTTCAACTATACACATTCATATATGTAAAACAAAAGACTTAAGCGACAAACGCATTTCCCGCCCTGTGCTTATGCAACGGTTCAGCGAGTTGTCACGACAAGGGCGCAAAATATGTAGCATGCTTTTGGGCTGCGGCGAATTTTAATATGCAGATTTTCGAACTCGAATTGTGTAGCGAATACTTTCCTGTCATTATGAATGCGTATTTATGCACATTGAATTAAATTAATATATACTTATTTGTACGCTAAAAAGGTACAAAAAAGGTTTTGCAGATGGTCTTAAATATGCATATAGGCTACTTTACAAAATATAAGCGTTTTTTTTATAATTGAGGCAATCGATTTAGTAGAATGCGAATACAACATTAATAAATTTTAGTCGTTCGAAGCTTAGAACTAACAGAAATTACATAGTATTTATTTTATTTAAATTCTTGATTAAAAGGGAGAATCTTTTTAAAGCATATTAAGCTGTGTTAAGGAAGTATTTTCATTTGTATTTCAACTTTTGAGCCAGAAATCCTATTTTTAAATGGTTAAATTTTGTTATTGCAAACTGTTGGTTAGAGAGTTTTCGAAAAATCTTCTAAAGCTGTTATAGGGAAATTATAAAATGTGAAAACTATATATAAATATATGCCCATCAGACAACAAAGTAGTTTAAAAATAATATCAGCTGTGTTAATAAAAAGTTTCCACTTGTATTACAATCATTTTCAATCTATAACATTCGCAATTAGTTAAATATTTACTGATAGCTAACATAATATATTTGTAGTATGAAGTAGAATAACAATAACAGCGTAATTAGCCGTTACGAATTGAAAATTAAGGACACTCAAGTAAATAGAGAAAGCCTAATTAAAACCAATTAGCAGCTCTTTGGCATATTTTCCACATGCACTTTGCACTCATTTCAAGAACATGAATACCAAATGCAATTAGCGCAAATTATAAAATGCCGCTAGACGCTCAAAATTAAAAAAGCAATTGGTCGCTTCGGAGGGCCGCAGACAAGCAAACGAATGAATGATGGTCAGCTCTGGGCAGAGCCCAGCCCATGCCTCACTAACCCAAATAAAATTCAAACGGTGTACTAACTAATGCCGAAACTTGTTTTATGATGTTGTACAGACAACCCTATAAAGCTGGCACATTAAGTCAGGCAGCTTTGTATGGCGGAAAAACAAAGAGTCAGCCGGATTTTTGGCAAACGAGTCGGAAATCTATTTTAGATATCAACAAAAAGTTGTCCTATATTTCTGCTGTTAAATCAAAGGGGAACTAGTTTCTTTTTTTTTTCGTTTTTAGCCGATCATCGACTGTAATCGGCATCGGGCAAACACTCAATATGATAATGAACAAAACAAATAAAAAGTGCGAAAATTAAGGCATGAAAAAATGTCACACGCACAGTGCTGCTCACCACAAGTCTACAGCCACGGAAGCTTTGCGCTTAGATAAGTCGCATCTCATATCACACGTAGCCGAGCGCAGCTATGATTACAACGATCTTAGACAATTTTAGGCGCCCCTCGAATCGATCAATGCATCTGAGAATATTCTCGGCTGCTTGGGTCACGTACATGCCAAAGTTTTTGCGCATTATTCAACGGGCTAAGAATGTTGCAGCGTGAGCAATTGATTTCATTCATGTGTGGCTAAAAGCCATAACAACTGATAAGCGCACACTTAATATTGAAAATTCTACAAAATCTTTCGTATCCAGATTAGGTAGACTGATAAAACGACTAAGATATCTGAGACAAGTCTTTTAATACGCGCTGGAAAAAGGCTCTAAATGCATAAATTTCTCTGTGATAAAAGAGTATATATATGATGCCTCGACTGTATACGTTTCAGATAAAAATCCCATAAGCAATTGTTTATCTTTGAGAATCACGTAAGCCCCCAAACCAAAACCCTTTTCTCCCGCCAGCTGGCTTACCTGTTGATTTGACTCATCCTCGGGTGCGGGCAGAAGCTTCGCATTGCTGGCCGTCGTAATGTTGTGCGCGGAATGAGCCGAAGTTGTTGCGGAGACGGATGAATAGTTCTTGGAGACGCCATCGTGCAGATCGTGCTCATGGTAGCCCTGTATGTCTGTCAGCGTGTTGTTGCTGCCACTGAGCGTGATGATGCCGCTGGAGCTGATGCGGCCCGAGGTGACTGTGGTGCGTCCGCCGCCGCTGTCCACCACACTGGACACCGTCGAGATGCAGCTGCGCGTTGTCTGTGGCGAGGGTGTGACGGCCGGCAGTTCGGCATCCGCCTTGGCGCGACGCATATTCAGCCAGGACATGCGCTGCGGCTGGCGGCGATCCAGGGTAGCCGCACTGCTAACGACGCCGTTGCCTGCGCCGCCAATGTAGACACAGGTGCGGGTGTTATTTGTCGTATCGCTGCGCAGTCGCTGCTCAGTGTCGGGGCGTGGCAGTGTCGCCATGCCGCCGGATATCTCTTTGTAGATGGGCGTGGGCTTGACGCTTCTAGGCAGGCTCAGCTGCTCGGCGAGGGCCTCCTCGCTGCTGCGGGTCTTATAGTTGCTGCTCATCGATCAGATCTGGACAAGAGAATGAAAATAAGAGAGAGAGAGAGAGGAGGAGATGAGTTGGAAGATTTGTGGCAGCTTATTAATGAGTTCAAAAACCTAACCGGCCACAATTCACACGAAATGCCCGCTTTAACATTTTTCAAACGAAATGATTCACATGCGAGGGTTTTGTGTGGATTTTTTTTTTTTTGTTTTCTTATATTGGCCAGCGATTTGCATGCGAAACGAATTCAAAGTCAGTTGGTTCGCAGCACAATAAACCAAATCTTAGACAAAGTCATCTATCGAAAGTAAAATCCGCTCTTGCATTGCAAATCACGGCGAGATATGCGAAAGTGAAAGGCACAATTCTGGATTCAGTACAATAATGAATAAATTCGCCATATTATGTGTGTTATTATGACACTCTATGGCCGACTTTCATTGAGTTCTGTTTAATTTTTATGTTTTTCTTTATTATACAATACAATAACTTCTGTCCGCGAATTTCACTGGACTGAATTCAGCTGTGACTGTTGTGTTTTTATCTCTCGCTGGCAGTGAAAACAGCGTCACATACAAAAAGTATACAAAATATGTAAATAAAACGCGCAAACAAAGTCGTTAAAGCAACTGTTCCAATACACGATGAAAACAAAGAACATGGCTCGAGTTACTTATACGAGTATTTATATAAAATACTTGAAAGTATATATAGACTCAATTTAGAACAAATTAAGCTTTTGGGAACTTGACGAATTGCCTTCCAAAATAAGAATTGTCAATAAAAATATAGCTTCATATAGAACATACAAATCCCTTCGAAAGCTACAACAAAATATTATTAAATCATTAAGTTATCTTGTAGTTTATCGAGCTTTACGTTACGAATTCTTCCAAATGCAGCTTTTATGTGCTTCGAAAATTTCGCATGACTTTATGTAAGCTTTTTTTGCTTCGAATGCCTTATTATTCCCTTTTACAATCTTCTATGTTCTTTTACCAGAGTTCTCTGTCTTTAAGCGAGCTCTTGTAGCTTTTAGCAATATTAAAATGAGATTTCGTGGATTTAATCAAATTTTAGACAAGCTTTCAACCAATTTAAACTTCTTCATCTACTTTAAAACTTTAATCCGCTTGCAAAGCTACTTTCCTGTCGTGTTACAATTTTTAATGCGCTTTTGTTTATATTTTTAGTTGTATTTCGTGGCGTGTTACATTGAACTGCTCCCAACTTGAATTAACACACTTTATGCCCCTGTTTTAATCAGCTTATAAATAGTATTCATTAAGTCAAGAGCGTCATTGAATTTATTTTGCATGGAAACAATTTTATTGTTGAGTGACTCAAATGTTTGCCTATCGCCCAGCGGAAAGGTTACAACGAAGAGTTGTGTCATTATATTAATGAATGTGTTCATATGTTTGTTTTGCCTTTATTGTTGCTCTTGAGAAACAAACAAATGAGGAGCATCTTATCGTCACGATGGCACACATTTTATCTTGGCATGTTAGCTGGAAACAAGCACACATACTAAAAATACCAGCTCTTATCACAATCACTTGGAAATGCACATTTTACAAAATAATTATGCACGCTTGCACAAATCAATGAGCTGGGCACAAAATGTTTATAACCATAACAACAACAGCAACAACAACAACAACAACAACAACAACAACAACGGTCAACAGCTTTTATCACGAGTTCGTTGGCTTTGCTGGCCACGAAACAGGCCAACAGCAGGCAACACCCTCTTTGGATACGTATCTCAATCTTGAAAGCATTTTACATACAAATTTAAAGACTGCAACCGCCCGTTCAAAAAAAAACGAAAAAAAAAAATTTGCGAAAAAAAACTTCACATCATTTGTATAAAATGTTTATGAGCTGACGTCGGCGCTCTTAGCGCAAATTAAGGCACCAAAGTGGACGTCAGTTACGGCTGTTTAATATTGAAAATTTTTGCAAAAGAAACGTGGCGCCGGCCACACTGAAGATTTGCAAGCGATACAGAGCTGCAGATACAGATACAGACAGAGATACAGATACAGAAACCTGATATGCCCATATACTATATACTTATGTTGCAGGGCCAAAATTCGCTCGACCGTTGGAAGCCGGGGCGTTGTAAATTAGTGTCTGGAACGGAACCGAAGCCGTGGCACTTGGAAGATGGCATTAGGGAGGCGACACACACACACACCCAGTACAGGTCGCCCTCGAATGGCGACTACTGCATCAGGTTACAGGTTATTAACAGGTAAAATGCTGCCAGAAACTGCTCGTAGATCATTATGAGCCGAACTCTTGACAGCCTTTCTGTTGCTTTTCTTTGTGCACTCAAATTGAACGGCGACAAAAACAAAAACAAAAACAGCAAAAATAACTACAAGAAAAACTAAGTACGACAATGTGGATGCATTATTACTCGACAGCCGGGCATGATAAAGGTTCTGACATGCCAGCACCACCAGCAGCAGCCATCGCCAACAGACGGCGTAGCCAGCGGCGCGTAACCACAACAAACTCGAACTTCAGCTCGAACTCGGACTCGGACCCACACTGGGCTCGAAGTCTGGAACTGAAAGTCTGTTGCCACTGCCAAGTTGAGTATAAACATGCCATTTGGGCACAGGCTGCACTTGAGCTTGCCGGCAAAATAAAAGCCCCTTTTTTTTGATATTTTTTTTCGGTCATTAAACGAGCCAAACTTTTTGCTGAACTCTCAATTAGTTCTAGGAAATAGGAGCCGTATCCATAAAAAATCGCCGGAATCAACAGCGTTACGACTAGATTAAAATTGTGTTGTAGAAATATGCAAAAAAATGTGCGCTTTAATTACAGTTGCTGCATATTGAGTAAAGTCGAAAAGCAGTAAACAATACAAATTAAAATAAGCTAGAAACATCTTTAAGAACTTGTTGAAGTGAAAAGTCCAGAAACTATATTAACCGACAAAGCTATACGATCAACACAGTAAAATAGAAAACAAGAACGAACGGCTATTAAATGCCCTTTCAGAAATATGGCATAGGGTTTTGCGGTGTGTGAGGACAATTGTTGGGCTTGTAATTACAGAGTTGGACGAGTTTTCCAGACAAAAAGCTCATTTCTCAATCAATTCTGCGGAGAGCTATATGATATAGTAATCCGATATTGACAAGACATGACTCACATGAGATGAGCATGATTGTAAAAGATATCTTAAACAAAAATAAAATTTTCCATTCAAGATCGAACGATCATAGCTATGGCAGCTATATGACATAGTTGTCTGATCTCATTGAATCTTATATATCACATACTCGGCAAATCCAAGCACAAGGCATGCATGTGCTTAAGCTTCGCTATATATCTGTTAAAGGTTACGATATAAACTATAAATTATCCGAAAGACGATCTGTATTTCCGTGGAAACAGACATTTAATCATCTGAACTCTGGCAGCAGCTAGCTGCCTGCTCAGATCCGGGAAGTAGCTACATTAGTTCAGCTTGACCTTTTGATGGAGCGAAAGTCCACATTAAAGCCACATTAAGGGGTTCGGGTGAGTGCCTAAACCTATTAACAAATGTCACAATTAAAGTTCGCACAAAATGTTATTCCTATATCAAGCCAGGAACATATACTTATATTCTAATCTAGTGTAATTCTAATTCTAGTGTAATTAATGCCCGGATAGTGTGTCTAATTTCAAGATGCATTCGTTAAGCTAGAGTTTTAATATTTGTTACAAATAATTGAGAATAGCTTCTGAAAGGTAATTTCTAATGCAGCTAAATCCATGCCAAAGTCAGCAGGCGTTCGCAGGCGTATCTGAGTAAATGTATCTGTATCTGTGCAGCTGTGCAGCTTAGTATCTGTATTTAATAATTGAAAGTCGCGTCGCTTGGCAAGAAAGGAAAGTAAAACTAGAGGCAGATTGTTTGTTTGTTTCTAGTCGTTGTTTATTGTTGATGTTGCTGCCAAGCTGCGCCATGAACGAAAGTAAAAACAACAAAATAGAAACAAGTTCAGCAAAATAGTGCATAATATGAGCATGACGATGCGTGGACTGGCACCTGTCAATCCAATAGATACATATACAGCAACAGCTACAGATACAGATACAACAGTCGCAGATGCAATTTACTCGTCATTTCGCAGTCGACTTGACACAGTTTCGCATGCAGATAGATTATGTAAAATGGTTAGTCTCGGTACTAACGATGCCGCCTGTGCACTTGTTAACAAGATACTAGCTACAAGATACAAACTACAAGATACGGGTAAAAGTATCTGTATGTATGTGCATGAGTGTGTGTGCGTGTGTGTGTGTTTGCCTGGCGTTGATTGCTTTTTATTGATTGTTCAATCGAATATAATTAAATGTTGCCATGAGGCCAGCGGTGCAAATCTGTAGGCGACACGCCCCACAACCAACAATGAAAATTGACGCTTCATTGATTTCATTTCATTTCATTAATTTACAAATGAAATCTTTACGCTTTACATTTAGCAACAAACTGTCAAATTGTGGCAATGGCATCATTTTGAGGCAAGTGCTCCACAAAAATTATAGTGGAGCACAAGATGAAGTTGTGATCTTTAGATAATATCGCAACACGTCGCACATTTAAAGCCCATGTAAATTGGCCATAATAAGGATCAAGGCAGATTGCGAAGAGTTTACAGCACGAACAACATCTTCAACCGGCTTTTATTGTGCCAGATTTAAGTTTATGCAAAATATTATTAAGCTGGCCACAAATTGCGTTCATCAAGTGCGCCATTCAAGCGTTAAAGAGAACATAAATATGTTGTACATCTCGGCGTTGCCTTTTGTCACTCTGTCAGTGGGTCAAGTGCATATTAGGTTAAAGCATTTTATAGCACTTGGCAATTCAATAATAATGCTTGAAATCACAATTTTTGCACCTAGCTAAAGCTAAAGCTTGTCTAGTTATGAGCGTAAAGTGCCTGCGCCATGATTTGCATAAATATTTATTGCGTGGCGCCCTTGTTGCGCTTTAATTGCAGACCAGAGA